AAATGTTCTCAAATTGACTGGTAATGGTGCACGTATCTGTGAATATATTAAAAATCACTGAACCGTACACTTTAAGTAGGTGAATTCTATGGTATATGAATCATATCTCAAGAAAGGTGGAAAAAGAAAAAGAAAAAAGAAAGAAGTCAGAGGGGAAAAACACATTCCCCATAGAGAGTCAAGGATAAGGGTTACATTGGATTTCTCATCAGAAATCACACAAGCAAGAAGGGAGTGGGGTAAAATATTTAAAGCATCAAAAGAAAAAACCCACCAACTTAGAATTCTGTGTCCAATGAGATTATCTTTCATACGTGAAGGAGAAATAAAAACATTGTCAGACAAACAGAAACTGTCTTCCAGCCGCTGAACACGCACGTGGGGCTCAGAGCAGTGTCTCTGCGACTGCTCCTTTCTCAGCAGGAGCCGGTCCCTGCAGCTTCCTCCCAGCAGCCTGAATTCTGTCCTCTGCCCTCACAGGGAACGAGGCTGCGGACAGCAGAGGACCCTAAAAAGGAGACTTGAGAACACCAGCTGGGCTGTGGGAGCAGAGAGGAGCCTAGAGGACAATCACCAGCACTGTCTTCCCATCACCCAGGGATGGCAGGAGAGGTCGGCCCATCTGCCGGGTGCTGGGGCTGCTGCTGGTGCTGTGCTGCCTCCAGGAGACAGCTTCCCTGCTCCCCACTCTCCTAGAAGAGGAGCCCCAGCCAGGGACGCAGGGCCATTCCCGCACCTGCCCGGGCCCCACCTGGGAAAGGTGCGGCTCCGCAGCTCCTTGATGAAGAGCTGGCTGCCGTTCTGCACGGGCTTGACGTCAGGCGTCTGTCCGGGGCCGTGTTTGTGCCAGGTCCGCTTCTTCTTCACTGTGGGGGAGACAGGAGGCAGAGGTCTGTCAACTAGCACAGCCCCAGGCTGACCTCACAGGCCCCTCTCCCCACTGCCCTACCTCTGAAGGGTAGGGAAGGAAGCCGAGGAGCCCGTGAATGTGGCAAAACTGAAAACCTGAGGACTCAACCTCCCAGCACCTCCTCAGCAGGGCTCAGCCCACCCTCACCTCCCACACTTTGATGACCCCCCAACACACACATACACACACACACACACACACACACAGTGAGGAGCCCACCCTCCCTCCCCACCCCACACATCCTGATGGCACCACCGCCCACTCCCTGAGAAGCTGGGTTCTCCCTCCCAGGACTCCTCTTCACTCAGCCACCGAGTCTGCAGAGAGGCGCCTCCAGGAAAGGTCCCTGGCCAAGGTTCAGCCTCATCATCCCGTAGCTAGACAACACCAGCCTGGCCTCTACAGCCAGACCCTGTCACCTCCCTGTTGGGACCCTCATACCCTGACAGCCACGCCACAAGCAGGCAGGCTGAGCCCTCCATCTTATTCCCACTCCTCCCCACCTTCTCGGTAGTGCACACCCCGCTCCTCTATGCCAGTCCCACCCCTGCCACCCCTGCCCACCACCAACCCTGGGCATGCCTCTAACGGCCTCCCTACCCCACCCACTCCCTCAGGCTGCCCCGTCACACCTCTTCCCAGGGCACCAGCCATACACACCTTGGGTGTTTTACAGGTGTGACCTACTGGACTGCACACCCATGCAGCAACGTATCCACAAGCACACATGCACACACACACACGTGCGCATACACACATGTACACACACCCTACCACTCTGTGAGCCCTTGAGGGGAGGGAAACGATCTCCTCTCCACCCTCCTATGTCCCTGACGCCTGCCCTGCACTCATCCAGGAGATGCAGAGTAACCCAGCAGGTAAGGGTGTCCGCCAGGGCACACACACGTACTCCTCGGGGGTTGCTCAGCCAAGTATGGCACAGGCCAACCCGGGGGCAGGAAGGAGACTGAATTTGAGAGTAGAGCCGGCCAGGGCACACATCGTGCCTGTCCTTCACAGTTGAGGACAGGGTGGGGGCTGGAGGCATAGGGGGCTGTGGCCTCCGAAGGCCATGTGGCCTCATCCTCCTGATCTGGTGGCTGTGGGGACAAAGAGAACTGAGGATCACCTGGTGACAATGAGTGTCCATGAGTAGGACCTGCTACCAGTGCAGCCTAGGAAGGCGCCAGGGCTGGTGGTGGCAGGGAGTTGTTTGCAAAGAACCTTCACAGTGTGCTTGAGCATCCTGTCATCATGACACAAGTGCACATGACAGCAACTCTAGGGCTCCTGAGAGTCAGGCCAGAAGCTGGGCACAGATGAGCCATCAGAGGGGCTCAACTCTTTCTTGCCCAACCCTCTTCCAGCTGCGTGACCTTGGGAAGTTACTTGACATCTCCGTGTCTCATCTTTCACAAGATGCTCGGGCTGGTCGTGTGGGTGGCTATGGGATGTAGGCAGGCATGTACACAGCTGCCTGACAGCTCCACTGGGCCCCGCTCACAGCAAAGCCACCGGGGGCGGCAGGGGCTTGTTCAAGGACTCAGTCCTTATCTCCAGCCCTTGGCCCATCCCTGTGTGTCCCCCGTACCCAGCACCCGGCCCAGCACACAGTGGGCACAGCGGGAGCGTCTGTGAACAATGGAGTCTCCCACCGTTGCCACACGGGACGCTCAGTTGCAGAGCGTCCTGGAAGGGGAGGTGGATGCGACCGTCACATGGGGAAGGGCTCAGTTCAACCCATTCTCCCACCCCGTCAGCACCTGCCTGAGCCGGGCGATGCAGGGGCCACAGGTAACCCTAACCTGCCCTCCTGTTACCCACTGTCTCGTGGGGCATCCTTCCAGGCAGTGGGCAAGCACCCAGGAAGCAGCTCAGCTCTGTGCGAGGCTGGGGTCACTAGGGTGGATGCCCCCCACGTGGCAGATGCCGGAGAGTGTACAGGGGGCCAAGGCAGGCCCTGGCGGTATGTATGCTGAGGTGCTCAGCCACAGGGGTAAAGGACACCCTGCCCCCAGGACAGCCAAGGTCCTCCTGACCCTCAAGCAAACCTAAACCACGGTGAACGGTGACTCGGTGAACACCATCGTCCTTCTGTTGGACTTGCTGCTGCTTGAGAAAGTGACCGTGTAGACATTGCATGTGCATGGACTTAGGATGGAGGCAGTTAGGTGCACTCCTCAGGGAGCCAAGTTGGACCTGCAAGGGAGCTTACAGATCTGGCCCTTCTGCACCAAGTGGGCCTCCCTGCCTGCCCTCAGGGGTCACCTGCGAGAGTGCTGAGTTCACACAGGGATCCGACAAGGGGATGGGACAGAGGCCCAGGACACAAGCAGCTCAGAAAGGAGCTAGAGGCAGCACTTCCAGTCATTCAGGGAGCGGTGACACTGCAGCGAGGAGAGTCCTTGGGGCTTGCTGGGGAGACCGAGGTAGTGGAGGCGGCCCCAATGCAGT